ACTAAATCTTTAAAAAAATCAAAGAACATCTCGTCTTCTTCTATAGAAGGAGAACAAATAGTCTAAGTTCAGTTTTGCTTTCTATTTCCCAACACCCGCCATCCAAACTGCTGAGCTAACCCTCCAAACTAAGGGTTCTTCTACCACAAATAGATACCACAAATAGAACTGGGAATTGAGAAGCTTTTCAGCTCTATCAAGCATGAAGTAAGAGGGATGAAGAGCAAAGTCGGTCATTTATCCCCATCATGACCTGACCAACGGACAGACCCCCAAAAGACCACTTTTGTACTGCTTGTTTGTTTGTTTTCCCTCTTTCGGGACAGAAGAATGAGGTGGGGTTAGCAGAGAGAAAAGATTGGGAGTTAAGGAAGAAGCACATGATAAACTCAGTTCTATCTTTCAAAGATCGGGAGTCAGATCTGTCTTCGAAGATCAGAGCCAGTGTAGTCATGAAAAGCCCAACCCTGATAGTACTGTTGGTAGCCAGATCTCCCCCTCCAGGGACTCTGCATCTAGAAATTCCAGTGGGGGTGGGGGTGGACTCTCAGGAATATACAATGGGACCTAAGAAAGACTGTTGCCAAGCAACACTATTAGAACAGAGTTCAGAATAATTGTAGCTGTCATCACTTCTCATCCATAGAGAATTAGATTTGGAAGCATGGGCAAAGACCTCTAAATGTCCCTTCCACTTCCACAACCTAGCAAAGCAGTTGGATGATAAAAGCAGACCAAAGAAAAGACATCACCTTTTGTGGGGGAGATTTTAGACACCCTCACTCTATAGCACTCCATCTGGTCTCAAACTCACTAAAATCTTTCTGCCTTCCAAATACTACAATTACTAGCATGAGCTACCATACATACTATCCTTACAGGCTGCCATAGAGGCATTTAGAAAATAATGCAACAGTCAATACCACCCCATCACTGACCCATAGAGCAACCTTTCTCCCAAGATTAACATGAGAGTAAGGACTATTGTGTGCCTTGACTTTTCCCTCCCTGTGCAAGAGATGTGTCATGGATAAGCATAAATGAAATCCCCACGATGGTTCCTGTTCTGTTCTCCACCACCTACACGTTCACAAAGGGTTCAAAAATTGGAAAATCAAAAAGTGGAGAAAAGCTAGACACTGTAACACTCACATGGGAGGCTGAGGTGGGGGGGGACAGAGTTCAAGGTCATCCTTGGTTATATATCCAGTTCAAATGCAAATAGGGCAACATAAGACCCTGTCACAAACAATACAAAGCAAGTGGCTTCCCCGGTGGTTTAAAGGGTAAACCATTTACCGGCCAAAGCCAAAATAGTGAGTTTAATTCCCAGATCCCACAGTGGAGAGAACTGACTCCTGAAACTTGCCCTTTAATCTCCATTTGTACATACACATACACACGCGTGTGCGTGCGCGCGCGCACACACACACACACACACACACACACACACCAATAACAATAACAATGAAAATAAGTTAAATAATGTTTTAATGTGGGAGAGACTATATAATTCCACCATTCAAGAGGCAGAAAAGTAGGATGGCCTGGAATCAAGGCCAACTTGGGCTGCACTGCGAAACTCTCTCTCAAAATAAACAAAACCGCCTCAGGTGGTAGTTCACACCAGTAATTCCAGCAGTTGGGAGGCAGAGTCAAGAAGATCGCTGTGGGTTAAAAACCAACCTACAGGCCGCCCAGGGCTACAGAGCAAGAACCTGTCTCCAAAAAAAGAGAGACATATTGGGGGTGGGGCAGTGGATAGAGGCAGAAGCCTCTCACACAGCCTTCATTCCTGATCCTTCGCCCCACCCTCGAGTGTCCAGGCAGGGCTGGTTCAAGGGTTAGAAGCCTGAAATTCTGCCCCCTATTCGCCAAGTACCACTTTAGTGCCACTTCAGTGGCTCAAGCAATGCTAGGAATGGCAGGAAAATAAACAGTTCTTAGCCCCTGTTAAAGTTTAGCTGAATGCAGACCCAGACATTTTCAAATACTTTCAAGGAGCTGGGCTCCGCGTCTGCTATCCTGGAGGATAGCATCAAACGACCACTGATCACCGTTTCCCTGGCCTGCTGATGCTCTAAAGCTAGAATCCCAGTAAACCAAACAGGATTTTCCAAGTCTGACCGGTGAAGACCTAAACTCAAGTTGGAGCCTTCCTATTGGAATGCTGCATCACTCGTGGTCGGTCCTCCTGATCCTGAGTTTCAATGCCTTCATCTATACCATGGGAAAAATTAGAATTGGTAATTGTTCCAATACTTGGGCAGTGGAAGCAAAAACATCAGAGATTCAAGCCTAGCTTGGCATATATGAGACCTTGTTTCATAAAACCAGTTAAGTAAGTTAAATAAATAAATTGTAGCATTTAATAAATCATAAAGCTTAAAATAAAATAAAAAGCCCTCAAGACCCTGAAAATTCACCATCTCTTTTTAGAGAATCCAAAAGAGTATCCAAAGTCTTTGAATTTTTTTTTTAAGATAAAGATGGGAGTGAAAGTAAAAAGCCTTCTCAGAAGAAAGGTTTCGAGCTGAATGGTGGTGACGCACGCCTTTAATCCCAGCATTCGGGAGGCAGAGGCAGGCGGATCTCTGTGGGTTCCACCTGGTCTACAAGAGCTAGTTCCAGGACAGGCCCCAAAGCTACAGAGAAACCCTGTCTCAAAAAAAGGAAAAGAAAAGGAAAAAAGGAAGGAAGGAGGGAAGGAAGAGGTTTCTTTTATGTGCATGAGTGTTTGGGCCGCATGTATGTATGTGCACCATATTTGTGCCTGATGCCCAAGGAGGCCAGAAGAGGGAGTCTTCTCCCTAGAACTGGAGTTACAGACAGTTATAAGCTGCCATATGGGCACTGAGACCCAATGCTGAGCAGCGTGAGCTCTTAACTGTTGAGCCACCTCTCCAAGTCCCAGGAAAGACATCTGAATTTAGAATTGCCTTCTCTCCAGAAGGGATAGATGGGCTGGCCATATTGTGAAAGCCTGTGATCCTAGCATTCCTAGGACTGAGTCAAGACAGCTAGGAGTTGGCCCTTGTGCTGCAGTGTGGGACCTTGTCTTGATAAACATCAAAGATAAGACTTAGAAAACTAGCAACCAGACAATGGTCCAAGAAAGTCTCATTTCAACAGATTTAATGCAGGCTGGCCTGGCTAGGAAAAATTGGCTATAACAGTGAAACTGACCATGGCTAATACAAACGAAGGCATTTGATTTTACACTCCCATTCTGTCTCTTTCATAGTTTAGAAGTAAATGGTTAAGTACACAATAGAGAAGGCGTAGCAGCCAAGTTTGGTGAGGGCTCAAACCTACAATCCAGGCACTGTGGAGGGTGGAGCAGAACTACTTTCAAGAGATTTTAAGACTACCTCAGGCTACGAAGTGAGTTCTAGACCAGCCTGGGCTAGAATCAGACCTCTATCCAAACAAACAAACCAGGAGTGTGTCTTTCTTGTTTACAAGCAAGTAATCTCAGCACTGTGGAGGCCGAGGCAGGAAGACTGGTAAAAATTCAGGACCGATCTGCATTACTTGGGGAGTCCCAGGCCAGCCTAAGTTATAGGGGGAGATCCTGCTTCAAAAAGAGACAAAACCAAGAAGCCCAGCAACGGAATACGTGTGATAAGAAAACAGAAGGGACGACTGAGGGAAGGAAAAGAACCTGCCAGAGATCTGGGGATAACAGAGATGGAAGCAGGGCAGTTTATGAGAACGAAGTATAATTTCACATATGTATAGGCTTTCACAAGTATAATTTTATGTAAGACCATGGGACTCTGTCTCAAAAAAAATTAAAAAAAAAAAAAAACTTGTGCTCCTTAAGGACCGAGTTCTATGAAGGCAAGAACGACCAAGCAGCGAAGCTAAACCTCAGGAGAGACACAAAGGCCTCCCTATCTGTTCACTCTCCTCTCTTCCCAGAGGCCCTCATCCCTTCTTAAGCATCCTGCTCACTATCTGAGCTCCACCAGGCTCACGCAGTCCGAGGAAGATGGATGGGCTAGCAACATACAACATAGGAGTCCAGCAAGCTCCTTCACCTAAGAGACTCAAGTCACGGCGGACATCGGGCCTTCATGAACAAGGACCTGGCGTGACTTGCACAAAAGCAAGCAGAGCTCATTAGTCAAGCACACACCCCTCCCCCACCCCTCCCTACTGGGCATCCGGCCCCCCTAGGCCTCACTCCCAGGAGGCTTCTGCTCTTCTAGCAAGAGCCAGTGGGGTGGAGACCAGATCTCTAATCAACCACTACACTAGATAGGTGTGGCCCCCACAGGAGAAAACCCGCACCTCACAGAACAGTCCTGAGGGGATAGAGAGGCACTGTGTCTACCAGGGATTTCGTAGAGGAAGAGAAACCTGCCCTCTCTTCCAGTGGGTTGAGTGGGCCCCTCCACAAACCTGTGCCTAGTGAAGTGTTTGCACCCCTGGGTAAAAGGAAGTAACCCAGCAGATGAGCCCCCCCACACACATCTCCCTACATCTCCCAGGGGAAAGCAGTTTGAGCGGAGGAGCGGTGGAAGGGGACCGAGCAGGAGAAGAAGGGAGGCGGCTGTGGGAAAGGTGGATGGGCGTGCGGGATCCGCCCTGAGCAACTTCCTCTCTCCTCCCTGCTTCTCTGTTACCATGGGGCTCTTCTGGGACAGTAGTAGTCTTACTTCAGAAAGGCGCCAATTCCTGGGCCGGGGAAATATTCTCCAAAGTAAAGTCTCTTCCCAGTGCCCAACAACCCTGAGTTTCCACTGCCTCATCCCAGAGGCGGGGAGCTGGACCCTAAGAAAGGTTGGCCCCTCCTTAACCACACTTCTAGTCCGGACACCCCCTCGCCGTCAAGAGCGCTCAAATCAGGACCCCATTATTCTCTCCTTCTTAGGACCTTGAGGGACAGCCTGGCATCCCCGGCAGGCCTGTGGCCAGGCAAGCCCCCAGGCAAAGAGTTGCAAAGGTCAAACTGGAGCCCCCAGGACGGACTGAGTCAGTCCCCCGGCACTCACCGTCTTCGGCATGGTGGCGGCAAAGGCGAAGGAGTTGGTGAAGTTTGGCTAGAAACTGTCGGGCTGTTCTGAGCGCGCAGTACACTTCGGCAAGGACTCGGGAGAGCCGGGTGCTCAGATTGGGTCCCACTCTAGCGTCGGGCGACTGCTCCGCTTCCTGCTAACGGGCCACGACTTTACAAACCCCACCCAGGAAAGAGCCGCCCCCGTTGCGCTGCTCGCTCCTTTATGTGGCCTGGCTTCCGCGCCTCTCCCCGCCCTCCCGCCCGCCTGCCCGCGACTTCGGGCATCGCCCCGCCCAGCCCGGCCCAGCCCAGTGCAGCCACTCCGGCCACGTGGGGGAACAGGCCAGGGTCCCAAACGCCCTAGGAAGGACTCCCACTCCCCACCCAGGCCCACTCTGCCCCCTTCCACCTTTCTCGCTGCCCCTAACCCTTTAAGTTTCCACCATCAGACTCCGCCCCCAGTCTGAGCCAGAGCATTACTGGGGGGCCACACCCTAGCAGTTGCTGGTGCAGCCCTTGACTGTGAGTTACCACTGTTGGGTTGGTTACCAGTTGCCCGTTAGAGCAGCCCTATTCCCTCCCTAAGCTTTCTTGCTGATTAGCAAGTTACCCCTGTGTACCCCTGTGTACCCTCTTTTTCTCTGTGACTTCCAATCATGCTTCATCTAAGCTCCCTGTGAACACTGCAAAGCCTCTGCTGTCCTTAACAACTCCGCAGAGTTCCGCTGCTCCTCAGGAAACTTCTCTTGACTAAATTGCCTCAGTTCCTCCTCAACACTCCATTCCCTTCCACAGGCCTCGTTTCACCCAGCACATTTCCTTCTACATTGTTTGGGCCTCATGTTCTTCAGAACTGAGATCATTTCTAAATAGCTGTCTTCTAAGTTCACTTTCTTTCCTTCTATTCCCAATCTCCACTCTACTCAGATTAGTACACCGATCCTTTCTTTAGTCCTTCCCTCAACACATTAGTTTTATTTGATCTGTTTGTCCCCGGAGCTGGCACCTAAACTCACTCTGTAGCTTAGGATAGTCTTGAACTCACAATCCTACTACATTATCTTAGGTTGGTCTAGAACTAATAATCCTACTGCCTCTACTGGATTTCAGGTGTGCGCCACCATTTCTACACATTCCCTTGTTGTTGTCGTCGTTGTTGTTGTTATTGTTGTTGTTGTTGTTGTTTAACACAGAGTAGTAGCAGTAACCCGTTGACCTGAGCCTCCTACTTCTGCCACCGTAGTGCTGGGAGTACAGGTACATACCCCAACACCAGACTCACATTCACTTTTTGATAAGGGTGTAAGTCTCAGGTGAGATATACACTCCTGTTCTGGCAACTGTGCAGGAACATGGATTGTGTGTCTTTTATGAGGTAACGTACCATGTACCTCAATGATGGAGACCCAAATGCAGAATAGTGGAAAGGTCAATTGAAGAGGGCAACCAGGACACCCACCTGGCTTCAAATCATAGTTTTGTCGTTAACTCACTCTGTGTCCTCTGGGCTCTCTTGGGTAAGTCCCTTCCCCTTCTGTAACAATGACCAAACTACTGGGTTTCCAAGGTCCTTTCCCATTCAAACATTATAAAAGAAGGAGAAAGAAGTAGCCTTCACAGAAAAAAAAAAAGGAAAAAGATGTGATTGCATAAAGTCTGGCATTTTCACTCACGAACCTAACAGTCCTATCTCCTCCTCTCACAACTTAACAGAGCCCATGAATCAACATAACTCCATTTTCTTCACTGATACCACAGTTCACTGACAGGTGCTGGGAGGGGGAAAAGAGTGTTCTCTGACAAAACCTGAGTATCTGCCCCAAGGAAGAGCATCACCATTCAGAAGACTTTGGTATCAAGAGGAGTAGAAATAATATCCAATCACATTCCTTGATACTGCCATGGCCCATGGACCTTCCCCTCCTCCCACACACAAAGTTAAAGGAACTTACTGATTTCTTCACTCATGTCCACCTAGAACCTAAAGGATTTGGGCACTAAAATAAATACCTAAAATAAAATAAGTTCATGACAGACTCATTCAACCTTGTGGAAAGTGGAAATCCCCAGTATGCCATTCCCTAAGCCCCATGTGTATGTGCACACCCACAGTCACACCACACCCTCCCGTCTACTCCCTTGCAAACACATGCACAAAGAGAAGTTGGGGTGCTTACCCTTACTCTTCTCCTCACGGCTTCTACTTCTTCCCCTTATTCTCCTTCTTCTTTCTCCTCCTTCTTCCCCTTACTCTCCTTCTTATTCTTCCTATCCTCTGTGCCCCCTTCACTTCATATTTCCCCTCGCACAAAAAATAAAGAACATGCAGAAAGCCATTCTAAGCATGGTGAAAGAAGTGAAAGGCATGCTCGCCGAGATGTGCCAATTGAAACCATAGACACTGATACTGATCTTCCACCGTATGGAGTTAGAATACAACCTTATCCTTATCCTTCTGATTACTAACCATAGGAAATGGTAAAGGGGATTCTATCCAGTTACCTCTTTGGCTTTCCCATCGCTAATGATTGTTCATGCTTCTTTGATGCTTCCTTATAAAAAAAGAAAAGAAAAGTCGGGTAGCATGTTAAGGAGCTGAGCGAACTACTAGAAAGGCTAGGCAGGCATAGGAATTCAAGTGCAGTGGAAGAGGATGCTGAAGAGTGGGGGAAGGCAGAAGAGTGAAGGCAGTCTGAGGGACATGGGTGGGATTGGTCCTAGGGGAAGAGAGATTGCAATAGTACCAGTGAGAAAAAAAATGATGGTTAAAAGGAGGGACAAAAAAAGATCCAGTTAAGTAAAGCCCCACATCCCCACTTCACCAAACAGATGCTGGTTAAAGTGGGAATGGTGACTGTGGTCAAGCAACTGGACGCTACTGGGAGGTTAGACTTCAGATGGTCTCCCTATTGTCAGAGCAAAGTAGAGGCAGCTGCAGCGCTCTGCTCTTCTTCACCGCAGGCAGGGAAATCCGGATTAGTTTCCTTCCTCTTTGCATACCAACTCCTTGTTCCCATGATCAATACTTCTATTCTTCCCCCATGCAGCCGTTTCCTGGGATCATATGTAACCTGAGAATTATACCAATCTTTCTGGGAGCAGATCAATCCCTACAATTACGTTTATATACGATCTGGCTTATGCCAGTCTTTCTGGAGAAAAAGACACGAGAATAAAGTCTCTTCATGCTCTCTATTTCTCCTTGGGGAGATTTGAGTTCTTAGATGAGGTAAATTCCTACCATTCCAGGAAGGTTGGGCAAGTCTGGCATCAAACCGTAAAAAGCAAGGCAAGGGCCACTATGAGGAGATGCAGGGCAGGAGCATTCTAGACCCAGCATCCAAGAAAGCTGGAGACATCAGAGTCAAGGGACAAGAGACTAAAAATAAAACTTAGGGGCTTGAGAGTTGGATCCATTGGTAAAATGGTTGCCCGATAAGCATGAGGACTTGAATTTGAATTCTGCCATCCCCTAATAGCCTGGCAAGAAGGTGCATGAGGACAGGATAGCAACAAGTAGATCCAAGAAGCTCCTTAGCCAGCCAGCCAAGATAATTAGTGAGCTCCCAGATCAGCCAGAGATCTTGCGGTACACATTTACATAAATCAGCCGTATAGTCAGGCTAGAAAAGACTTGCCACCGTTCTATAGTTCTGAGCATCAAAATTTGCACTTGCACGATTGTAATTTCTCCTCGCCTGGAACCCATCCCACCCATCTCCCTCAGACTCTTTATAACGTCTTCCTTCATGCTTCTACCTTCCCCCACCCGTCGGCATCCTCTCCCACTCCACTTGGATTCCTATGCCTGCCTTGCCTTTTAAGTAGTTTGCTCAGCTCCTTAACATGCTACCCAGCTTCTTTTGTGCATGAGCTTATGGGTGTTGATGGGTGGATGTGGTGTGTGTGTGTAGGTGTATACATTCTGCAACCAGACAGTACTTTGAAAGAATATACTGCAGTCACCCCACAGATAAAGTTCACTCTGTGTCACAATATGGCTGGGAATGCAAACCAAAGGAACAGGGTACTCTTTTCTTGGAAACAAAAAGCAGAGTTTGAATGACAGCAGAGATAAACGCTATCCACCATATAGTGAGTATTAGCGAAGCCTTATAGTAACTCACATTGCATCACAAAAGACTTTTCCAAGCTCGGAATGAGGAGATTGAGAGTCCGGGAAATAAAGTACCTTTTGGGAAATCACATGGTTTCTCAGTAATAAGATTAAGAAGCCGGGCCTGGGTCGTGTGAATTTAAGTCTACTGTCTTTCCACCGGCCTAAACCCATGACCTCAGTCCCAGGATGTGACAGGCATAGTCAGAAAAGAGGTGCATTTGGTGATTTGTATCAATACAGCACCTAATGGGCTGGCTAGAAGCTGGGCACAGGGGACGGGTAATAAGCAGCAGGGACAAGGCATCTTGCCAACGCCAAGTGCCTGAGGACATTTATTATTAATCACACTAATGGACCACAGTGAGAGGGTAGGCTTTCTTCCTGCCTTTTCCTCACATAAAGCTGTAGGCATCCAGGAGCTTCCCTCAGCCGGGCGATCAGCTCGATATGAACGAGTGTCCTCTTGGAATATGAAATGAGTTCTGCCAACAGGGGCTCCCAGTTCAGTCAGTAGATCCCAGCTCTGTCCCCAGAGACCAGTGGCCAGTCATATGCGACCAGTCTGCATGCGCTGCTTGTGCTCTCTCCGCAAAACATGCCTAGTTCACATTCTACACTTCTAGAAGGACGTGCCCCATCCCTCCATCCTGCTGTGTGTCCCACAGTGCCGGCCACCCCTTAGGGGGCAGGCTCTGTGAGCTGTGCTCACCTTCATCCTCCCCAGCAGCTCCGTATCTGTTAGTGGTTTTGTTGTTAGCACTGTCTGTTATGTGCACAGTATCATCTTGTTGAATTCTCCTCTGTTGGACCCTTCCCATTGGTCACCAAGCCGTGCTCTTTGTGTGTCTGTCCTTTCCAGCTTCCTCCCTGCCATGTCTACCAACAGTGCCTGAGGTCCTCCCTAACCAACTGTTTTGAGCTGTGAGAACAGGTGCCTCCCTGGTCTTCCTGCCTCTAGGCTCCCTGCCCTGGCCATCCTCCCTCCATGTGGTTAGCATGGTGATCTTCAGAAACGGTGACTTTGACCTGTCCTCGGAGTTGGCAGGTGGCCTGCCCCATGATGCACACACTTCCCTTCCCAGCCT